GTCTGAGCGGGTTACCCGTTTTGTGTGTTTTGATGTTTCCAAATGCAACTCCTGGTCTCGCTTCTTTATTTAAAACCCATTTGGCTACTTCGGGAGAAATCTCACCTTTTCCTAGCCATTTGGAGCACCAACTCTCTACTAATGCCAAATGTTTAGAGGTTGGGTCTGATTGCAAAGGTTCATAATGCAACTGATTGTTAAGCTGACCAAACATTTTTTTCCTAGTTTATTCTAGTTTGAGCACTCTGGCATGGCTTAGACGATACCACGAATGTTGGATCGTTTGGGGTGACCGTCTCGGTTCTCCTCCATCGTAGCATCACGGCACTGCACTGATGAGGCCCAGAAGGCCGAAACAGTACTGTCTGCAGTATCATATATATATATATGGTAGCAGTTAGGGGGAAATAGTTATTCCATATAGATTCAATTTTGTATACCATATATATACCATATATATTGTACCATATATATTGTATACCATATATATATGGTAGCAGTTAGGGGGAAATAGTTATGCCATATAGATTCAATTTTGTACTTCGAGTAGCTTTAAACTAAAGATTTTCTTTCTCTTTGATCAAGAATCATTTTTCAAAGCAGAAGCAAGGAAAGCTCCTCGCTTTGAAAATAGCGAATATCAGGGAGCTAACTTTGCCTTTACGTAATTATTCACTCTAGAATTTTCACTTATTGTGTGGTTGAAAATTTCGCCAGCCTAACTCTTGGTTTCACAGCCAGTTTCACAAGAATTTAAAGAATGCTGAGTGCATGATTATTGATGCACAGAATCAGTCATTCATAGAGTAGTGCGTGTATTTTGGAAGAGCTACATCTCAAATTTTCTAAAAGTATTAACAATTCTGTGGACAAAAATTACAATAACAAATTGCATCTTTTTTTCTTAGCCAAGTTCCTATGATTACTCGATTAGATGATAAAACACTGGCAAAAGTGTTTGATCATTGTGTACTTAACTAAAGCAAACAAAGCTCGGCGCATTAAGTTATTACGTAGAATTTGTCACGAAATTTCATATTTTACCATCGCATTCGTCCTAAGATGATACAAATTGCTTACGCTGGTTCCTACAGCTTGTGAATCCGCTAAAAAGTTTTTTAATAATTAAAAGATTAAAAAAATGCATCGCAACTCATAGTTCTTCAAATTCCGGAAGTAACTTCCGCGTTTTCTCGGAATTTTTGTCGCGAGTTTGTATTATATCAACGTTTACTTAAGGTAGAGAGGTATCTGAAGGCATTTAAGCATACTCATTACACCTGTCACTTTAGGTTCTATTGACCATTTTATCATGCAAACGCACCTTAAGTCAATTTTATCGCTAAACGTGACTAGACTTTGAAACATTCAAGCTTTGTGTGTCGTTAAAAAGTTCTGAATGCTTCAGGTAGCGCAAGTGCGTTAATTCGCTGCCCTTGTCACAACGTTTTAAGACCTTTGTGCAGCGATTTAATTTTACCAGTCTGTGTTCTACTCATACTTGCAACATCGTTCCTCTGAAAGCTTACTTTGATTTATTTGCGCCATTATCTAGACAGCAGCATGATATATTCAATAGAAACAGATGTTTTTTGTCTTGTTACGAGCGTGACGAAAAGAGAAAGTTCTGAGTCTTTATGAGGAATCAAATCGCCCACCTTCAGATTCCGTGTTTTGATGCTCCAAAGGTGTGGGGGTCGGCTCTTAGTAGGGACTTCTTTGTCCCACGCTTATTCCTGAACGAAAAAAAAATATATTTCTTTTTCTTTACCGAGCTCAGATCTATCAGATATTTTAGCATTGTCACAAGTGCTTTCGGTATTCTTTCAAACGCTGACGCTGTTTTAATGTACTCAGTTTGAATATTCGAAAGTTTACAGACACCGAGATAAACTGCTATATAATTGCCGGCCACTTTTGCTCAGTATTTGAATTCCCAGTTCATTATATAGCCAACAGCACTCATATTTACATCTCTTACAAATCAAATTCGAAATACGGTGTGGAAAGTATGCGCGGACTGGAATCTCATCGACTGTAAGTTGATATAAGATTAACAACAGTAAGGGGAGCAATGAAATGGAATAAACATGTCTAGTATTGATTAACGTTTGAACTGGTTTCAGGTTCTTTTTAACTTCCGGCTGGGTTTCCGAAGATCGTATTCTAATTCTTATTTCTGTGACAACTCGATGGTTGCAAGCCAAAGTATCGTAGGAAGGGGAGACAGCTGGAGTGCAAGTCATGACAAAGGATATTATTCAAGTTTTACTGTGGCAGATACTGGATATCATTGCACCGATTTCAGTGTTCAAGAGGACTGGACACAGGGGGAAAACAGTTTTGAGCATACTTTCCCGGATGAAGGACCCTGGCTGATAAGGTGAGTTAAGCAAAATACACTCTATCTGTCGACAATTTCGAGCTATCGTGGTCGTTTAAACAATTCCTTTGTATTGTACCATCCACATTCACTGCTCAATACCCGAACAACAAAAAATTAGGGCAATATGAGATGATGAAACAAACAAATCATCAGAAAAGTAGTGACACAGGATCGGGAAACAAGCACGGTGCCCCCATGCTCAATTTCACCTTTTCAATGTCCAATGCATCGTTATATTTATGAGATAACAAACAGTTTAAAATCTGGATAGTGTTTTTTTTCTTTTAAGGGAATCACCTGTGACGAATTTCAAAATGATAAAGGGTCATCCCATGGACAGACGAGTCACGCATGGCTTATATCCTATTACCTAGTTATTGGAAAGCCTCTTCGTGGAGCAATTTGAATTTGACTTTAAGTATTTAACTTAGTGTCAGTGTAAAATGTAAATATCAACTGATAAAATCTAATTTTGTTTTCGCTGTATCCAGTTATTCAAGTTGCTGTTGGATCTCCCTGGCAAATGGAGGCAATGGTGATTGGTTTCTCTCAACCTCTGTCAACCTGACAAAGCGTCAAGATAACGGAAGAATCAACTCGTCTCCAATCTCAGCGCTATCTCCCATCGTGCGACACCAGCAAGGCTGTTCGAAGACAATCACTATTCCTGCTGAGGACTCGGACGGTGATAAAGTTCGCTGTCGATGGTCGACTGGTTCTCGAAGAGAATGTGGTAGTGTATGTCAGAGATTTCAAAGCGGCAATTTGGATGAAGTAAGTTTAGCTGACCTGTTAAGAACGTTAAGGCAAATTCTTCCTAATTTCTGCCTTTTAGAATTTTCAACTTTGTCGATCGTAATCCGTGTTTATCATTGCCTCGTTTATCTTACCAATACTGAGAACTTTAATGCTCTGTTGCACTCCTCTTCTTTTGAGGAGGTATTGCGCGATGCAAAGTTAGATGCTTCCTTGAATTAAATAAAAAAGTTTTGGACGCCCATTGTTCAACTGTAATATTACTACGAATCAACCATTTCCTTACAAGAATGCCAATGTATCATCAAATTCAAAATTCCTATGGAATATTTTTCTTTGTTCCACGATCGTGATAACACGAAGAAACATTTTTAATTTCTTTGGTAAAAAGGCTTCTGAAATAATAAAAAAAATTATCATTTTTTGGTCGCTTTGCATTTTTCACATATTCTAATCTTACTTTTATTATTTTTTTTATCCGATCTAAATAGGAGAAATGCACTTTGAGTCTCTATAGCAATGCAGCTCTTGGTTGGCATGCAGTGGCTATTACCTTGGAAGACTACCCAGCTTCAACGACCAACTTCCAAAGCGCCACCCCATTCAGTCATGTAAGCCTGCAGTTTCTTGTTCACGTGAGTCCATCTTCCGGGCCCTGTAATAGGGCTCCAGTCCTTATCGGCCAAACCCCAAACGACGGGTCTTGTGAGGAAGTGTCAAATGGTGACACTTTCAAAAGCATTATTGAAGCAAAACATATCGACTCCTCTAGAAGGTATGTGTAACTGCTGCACCCTTTCCATGCTAGAATTTGATGGATATGAAAGTGACACTTTCAGTTTAACAATGACTTAGCAAACCTGCTTTTTGTGGGTCAGTTCCTGGAAATAGCAAATCCTGATAAGTTAGTAAATGAGCTCATCAGAATTCAAAGCATCCTTCTGTTGAAATGTAGCCTATTTTTGTACAACCGACGATGGATATCTCAGAGGTCGTTTTTTGACAGCGATGCTCTTACCATGTGTATAGTCAAAGTAATGTTAGTATCTAACGAGCAGGCAATGAAATAGACAAAGATTATCAACTTACCCAGCACTTTTGAATACGTTTCGGTCTGAGATATGTTCTGGGCAAACTCAAGAAGCATATGCTTTTGAGCTAAGCCAATCAACTTCCGGCCCGAGATTCACGTACCGTAGTCCTGATCAGTAAGGAAGAATGAGAAAGCTTATTTCCTCTGCAGTGTTCAACATTTTACTCTGTTTTAGCATTGTTGAGATTATCACTGTCACACCACTTTATATGGTTATTACCGGCCTCCTGAACTACACTGATCAGATCGGGGACACAGTATTCTACAGGAATGCGTCGTGGAATCCACGATTATCTCAGAAGGGACGACATATCTTTTGTTTCAAGGCAGTTGACAACTACGGGTGGGTCAACAAAGTTATTGTTTTTGTAAATCTATTTTCTTTTCAGTGTATCATACTTCAAAACGCCTCCATTTAATGAAAAGGTAATTGGATCTTTTTCGTGGTCGCTTTTCCCTAAAGAAAGTAACAGTGCATATTTGCAGATTAAGCAAGTTCTTACTCACTCCTCGCATGTTTCCTGGATAACAGCTGCCTCAATTTAAATATCCTTAAGACTCTTTGATTTTCTTTGGTATATAATTTGATGTATTTTTATCTATGTACAACAATTCACATTTCAGGATTGAAAGCGAGCAGAGATGCATTACCATTATCGTGGGATCAAGTAAGCTTGCATTTTAAGTGATATTCTGCTGGTTTCTCGGTGTCCGAAATTAGACAATTGATTTCCTACACGAAAAGCTCTTTTGCAGTGCAGGCCTGATTCTTATGTCCCCTTGTTGTGGTTCTTTTCAGATAACACTCCAAATCCGTTATTGTATTCTCGTGTTCCTGTGGTCCCTCGCTTGTCATGGCCGTGGTGGTTTGGATTTGTGGACTTTAACATAACGTTTGACCAACAGGTATTAAATGAAAAGCTGAACTATACACGCAGATTGATTGGTTCTTATTCATGATCTATTTGAGGATAGACGAGCAGATGACGCTGACAAAAATATCTTATGATCTTATAGTTTAAAACAATAAGCGATCATAGAATATGTCAGAATGCGGTAAGAACAGTGACACATTCTGCTGTGCTGCATGCACCACTTTTTGGTTCTTACTCAACAAACACATAGTGGCACAGAATCTCTGTTAAGTATTTACAAACTAAAATGAAAACAATGCCTGTACTTCCATGAAAGCTTCTAATTATAAGTTTAAATACAAGTGGCTAACTAGTTTGTTTCCATAACACAGATCAAAAGACCACGCCATTCCAAGTTTATACGGATCGTCTTGGAAGACCACGTAATATACAAACTTGACACACGCTCTTCGAGTGACGTTACCGTTGATAAATTTAGCCTTAGATTCCGCCTGCCGCAAGTTGTTCTTAGTATGCGGGGAAATTATTCCATTACCATGGACCGTGGCGTTGTGGTGGGCCTCGGGTGTACATCGGATGGTCCGCCTTCACCAGGCATGAGCTCTTTAAAAGACTGGCCTTTTGATGTTGGAGTTTGTTCTAAGGGCACTTACATGGATCATAATTATCGGTGTAATGGTAAGAACATTGGGTTTTGCATGGAGTATTACTGTAATAAATTACAATTTGGAGTAGACTTGCCATTACTGTGCGTAAATATTTAGCCACGAAATTCAAGTTTGTCGTTTGCAATCCTTTTTAGTCTTATCCATTTTTAAAAACTCCTGCCCGATATTGAATCAGTGTTGCCTTCCATGGAATAGGGAAATGTTAGATGTTGAGCTCGGTAAAGCGAAAAGGAAAAGGATGATTCATTTTGTCACTAGAGCGGGGCAAAGAAATAGTCTGAGATCCCTCGTGAGAAATCGGCCCTTAGAACTTTATGCCTAAAAAACCCCACTTGAGATTAGCACTCTGGTGAAGCCGTTTATTCCTCGTGAATATCCAGATACTTAAACCCTTAAGTTACGCTGCTTGGCTGGTCACGCGTTCTCTAACTTGCCAGAAGAAGTCTCAATTTAGCTCATAGGGTCTTACAAAGTCGCCGTATCACATGTCTGTTACACAGTTAGAAGCCCATAGAAGAGATATTTACTTTCTTTCTCACATCTTAGCTATTACTGGAATTAACTCTGTTACACGGGTCGTTACAACCCCCATGTACTAATTTAAGGTGATGGGATAAATGTTAACTTGAGTTGCTTTTCTTCTAGATGTAAATGAATGCTCCAAGGCGCCGTCTATTCTGAGTCGCAAGAAAAGAAATCCTTGGGGATGGTATTGGCAATATTACACTACTTCTGCGCAAGGTGCATGTATACTTTACCTCGGGTAACTCTACGTAACTTAGTGCGCAAAAGCGTCCTTTTTTCAGGGAAAACTAACGAGTTTGTCTCATTTTATTTGACAGCCATGGTGTCAAGTATGCAAACAAGTAGTTTTTCACCCACACCAGGTAATTCAGCGGTATTCAGAAGTAAATAATTAGGAGTGGTATTTATGGTGTCTTTCAGCTTGAAGATGTTGCTGTTTCCGCTGCAGTTGTTTTTAGTGGTTTTTCGCGCTCTAAGAGGCAAAATCTTAGAGTGAGACATATGTGACGTTAAACTGTACTGATTTCTTTTCTTTAGCTTTCGCAGTTGCTATGACTTCGTCGATTTCTGGTAAGAACAATTTTGATTTTGAATTATAAAGAAAATAAAAAGAATGAAAGAGAATTGTAAAAATAAATGTGTGCAGGGAACATTAGAATACTAAATATTACATTATTGCATAGCGATCATGTCTGATCAGTAAACAACCTAAAGAAATAAAGGATCAGAATTTCTTTCAATTTTTTTCTTGGAGCGTGAGACGTTAGCATAGTTGTTTGTACTCAAGACTCTAAATTTTCGACAGAGGCCTGGGTTCCACTCCATGCCCGATCATTGTTACTGTGCTTTCGGGCCAAGGGAACAATGCCATCTTGCTTGGGCGAGACACTTTATTCACGCAATGCCCCTTCCAACACTCATTGTGTGCGGGTTGTTGTCAGGGAAACTTCCGAAATACTGTCCATAGGGAGCATTTACGGTAACATCTTTCAGGAGAGATAACACCGCTCTTAGTAACTTCAACATTCGTAACCAAGAGAGGCTCAACTGGCAGTGAATGGCAAGACCCTTAGAGTAAGAACTTTCTAATCTGATCTATGCTTCCTGTTAACAGGAGTCTGTTCGCATTACCTCTATCAACAAAATGGTCAGTTTACCAGTCCAAACTACCCTGGCCGTTACTCAAATAACTTGTATTGCACCTGGCTAATTGAGGCCCCATATGGCTACTACATATATCTACAATTTGGATCATTTCATCTTGAGAGTTGTTGTGACTGGGTTCAAATATTCGATGGTAGCTCAGCATACAGCTCTAGAATTATAAGCGAAAACGGCTATCAGCAACCCTGGGGAGTGTGTAGCACTGGAAGGTTTCTGTTCGTGCAGTTCACTACAGATTGGAGTTCTACGTATTCGGGATTTTCAGCAACCTACCAAGCTGTATCACATGGTAAATATATGCTATGTTATTTCTTTGTAAATCTGAATATTTTCATCAACATTACTCATATTATTAATTTCTGTAATAAGTCTGACATAGCCTTCCTCCAAGTGAAGCAGTAAAATTGCACGTGTAAACTCTCAGAGTGTTAGCTAGATGGGAATCTTGTGTGGTACCCGTTTTTTACAATGAGCCATATAAGGTATAAAGAAACAGGTCTGGAAATATGTTAATCTACAACTTGAAGAGTAACTAGAGTGAATTAAGACGGGGGACGGACAACTGATGGACCAACTCACTGTTAGTGACATAGTACTTGCATCAGTCTAGAGTAACTCTTAAAGTTCATCCTTTCGTGGGTGCAGCTATCAACCCAAGTTTCTTATCTAATATAGATCTTTCAATCTACACTGAAATGCGCACGATGATTTACTAAAAAGAGACACTTATGAAACGACAGAAATTGAAGCAATATGACGTCCTCCCCAACTTTAGTTTTACGGATACTCCCCACTCTCTCAACATACTGCTAAAAAAAACGATATCCCTCCCTCCTTATCCCCTTTTCCCCTCCCCCCTCCCCCCACACTCTCGAAGCTGTTTGTATAGTTTCCTTCATCATGTAATACAGTCAGACAAATTGTAATCCCTTGACTCACAGCTTCCGGCGTCGGCCAAGTTTTTACTTCAGCTGTTAATGGAGCGTGTTATGGTAGCAGTCTCAAGCCATCTGAAAAATTCACAAATTGTGAGTCAATTAAATTAATTTGAATTTGCTATTTACTCGCATAAGCTATAGGCTTATGCGAGTAAATAGCAAATCTGTTGTTCAGTTTCCCATACAAGTTAGAAAGTTTTCGCTATAGCTAAGTCTAATTCTTTGTATTTTAGAAATCTTAAGTTCATACAACCACAGTTGTGATGCAAATGTTCCTGTAAAAGATTAATTAAAAATTTTAATGTAAATTTTTAACAATTCATGCCTGCATTATAAAACATCCAAGGCATCCTATCGTTAATAAGGCTCAGTCGTTATTATATGACCCGTCTGGACCTGCTCGCGCAGTCCCAGAGAAATCAATAGTGATAGCTGACGAATGTAGGACCGGATGGGTTGGCGTCAGCCGGTCCGGAAAAAGCCGTCCGGCCCTTCTGCCCTCATGTCGCTTTGCTGCTAAAACTTAAAGGAAAAAAGAAATGAGAAAAAAACAGTCGAGTTTTTCGGGGAATTGCGAGTTTCTTGTTTTGACCTGAAAAAGTAAAGGAATAGTTTTAATTGCAGAATTGTTACTTTTGCTTGTGTGACTGCGTATGCCCGTCTATCGCGTCGTATTTAGGTTGACACGTTCATACGATAAAATGCTTATTGACTGAGTTTGGTCGGGCCGGACAGGAAAATGTTTCGCTCTCGGACATGAGGCACGAACCTCGCTGTGCTCGGTCCGTACGTCATGACATCGAGCCCTGAATATTTTCCCGTTCAGCCCTCCTACTCAGTCAATAACTACATTTTCTACAATCTTAATAAATTATTATACAATTAAGGAAAACGATTCCTTCCATTCATGCTAGCTTAAATTGCAATTGCAATAAACATTTCCATCCTAGCTGTTTCAATTTCATTCTTGTACTTAAAGGACAGAGCTGGTAAAATTTTATTTGTTCCTTTTTATTTTTCATAGTGGTATCCCCGACGAGATCTTCTACGCATATTCCATTGACATCCTCAGTTATTGGTAAATTATGGAAAAATTTCATCCTCTTTGATTATTGAAACTAATGGTAAATAGAGCACCATAGTCCAAGACTGCGTGAGCGTGTGCGTGTGCGTGCTCGGCGCGTGTGCGTACATGTCCGTGTGTGTAAGCGCGTGAGTATGTAAAACAATGGGCAAGTTTAGTTGGCCTGAAGTTACTATAGTAGCAGGAAGCGGACAAGTTCAATAAAGATAACTCATATTAGGAACTTATCGAGTTGTTACGTGTCTATCGTTATGCCAGTGATTGTTTAAATTACACAGTCCACGTAATTTTTATCATTTTCATTGTCATCTTCCTTACATCTATCAGAGTCTGTCAATAGTAACTTTTATTACTTTGTAATTCTATTTTCTCTTTTCTTCAATTTTTGCCAAAACTGTATATTTGACCTTCAAGTCTAAACCTGAGGTACTCTGCAGCTGGAAGACAAACTCCTTCTCTCCTTTTTGTTACCAGGTGCCTGTTCATATTACCTTTACCAACGAAATGGCCGATTTACAAGTCCAGGCCATCCCAACCGTTACTCAAATAGGCAGCATTGTACCTGGTTAATCGAGGTTCCTTATGGCCACTTCATATATCTACAATTTGGATCATTTCATCTTGAGGGTTGTTGTGACTGGGTTCAAATATTCGATGGGAGCTCAGCATACAGCTCTAGAATTACAAGTAAAAACGGCTATCAGCAACCTTGGGGAGTGTGTAGTAGTGGAAGGTTTCTGTTCGTGCAATTCACTACTGACGGGAGTGTTACGTATTCAGGCTTTTCAGCAACCTACCAAGCTGTACCACATGGTAAAGAAATATGTGTGTCTGCCTATCCCTTCATATTTTTTTTTTTTTTTTTTTGGAATAAATTAATTTGTATTCACTTGATTAACTTTGATGAATAAGAAAAGAAAAATGTATGAAAGAAAACATTACGTGCTACCCAAACGTGCATTTGTGTCACCCATCTTTCAAATTGTACTGGATAATGTGTTGTAATTCGTCACCTCAAACGACTGCAAGATAGAGACATGGCCGACTGTCTGACTAAAGTTTTTGTAGAAATTTTTATTCATTGCGCGTTTCATTGAAGAAAAACACATCGGGCACCAATTCACAGGCTGAATGAAAGAATATCAAAGTTAACGCAAGCTTTAGCCTCGAGTTACTTTAAGAGACATTTTTACAGCGGACCCCACCCTACTGTTTAAAAATTCGTGACCTTTCTCATTATCATGTCACTCTTTGACAGAGTACGATTTGTATGATGCACGATCCTCGCAATAGAGAGCGCTATTAATGTAATAGCGAAAATCAGACCTGAAAAAAAAAAAAACATGATTTGTCACAAATTACAAATTTTTTCCTTGAACTCAGCCTCCGGTGTCCACCAAGTCTATGCTTCAAGTGCTGTTGGATCGTGTTATGGAATTAGTTCGATACCCTACTTACAACAAACACGTGGTTAGTACGTTCAATAACTACTTGTAATATGCTGCAGTTTGATGAAATATATATTAGTCTTTAACATAAGAACTAAGCATTTAATCAGATATACTGCGCGAGAACGAGACTAAGGAGTACGATCCTACCTTACAGAATCTTTTTCGTAGCACATTTCAACTCCTTACTCAAATTTTACATATTACCGATTTAGTGTCCCTTTTAAGACTGTTTGACCACTTTAAACAGTCTTCATGTCGTGATAAAAGTGTAATCAATACATATTTTAATTTCCTAAACGTAGGATTTTGTAGTTTTTATCACGTTATTCGTAAACGGAAATGTGAACGGAAACCACTGCACCTTGTATCGCATTCGTTGGAAACCCCGACGATTTTCGCGCTGACACTTACATAGGGAATACAAACTGATAGTGTGGGTGCTTGATCACAGCCAAACGGGAGAAAAATATCTCTGCAACTTTAGTTTTCCTTTTCTTTTGATGAAAAACTACAACCAAATTCGTCGATGAAATGAACTTCAGCGCAGAGCTTAATTGTCAATAACCTCAGATTAAAGTATGTAGTATATTGTAACATGTAAGAACAGTTACTAAACATGATGTGTTCGTTTAGATTCCTTAGCGATAACTCCGACGAGGTCATCTGCCTATATTCCATGGACAGTTTCTGCTAATGGTATAGTTGTTTATACTCACCCAGTATTGTTGGATACATTGTAACAAATGGTATTCGGTATTCACGATTTAAAAATGTCTGTTGCTTTAAATTTTTGGCAGTATTTTTTGTTAACAGGAGCATTTTGCAAGAGTATCTTAAGAACGATTATAGCAACGTATTAACAAGAAAGCTTTGAACACCTTCGACCTATATGAGGATTCGTGGAAGCTGAATTTTTCTCAAAAAGGAGAACTTAATAAAAATACCGAGTTTGAACGTATCTAAGAAGCCTCAAGGGTCAAACAAACTCCGCTCGTTTTTAAGGCCTATTTAGGTTATGGATTTTTACTCTCCTAACATCCCTCTCTGTTCCCACGTACGCTCCAGTTTTCATTCGCGTTTAAACTGAAAAGAGTCATCTCTGCAAAAGGCCTATTTAGGTTATGGATTTTTACTCTCCTAACATCCCTCTTTGTTCCCACGTACGCTCCAGTTTTCATTCGCGTTTAAACTGAAAAGAGTTATCTCTGCAAAACAAGGACCAACCGAAGATGGAAAGTATTTTTCCTTTTATCGTCATTAATTTTATTCCAGAGTGCACGAGTCACTACTTTTTGGAAGATTTTGGAAGATCAGTTAACTATGTTGGGAACAATGTCACATGCGACAGAGGTCTTTCCCATGGTTGGTACAGATTTCGTGGTGCAGCAGGAACTCAAATGCCCTCCTCCTGTGTGGGAATGAATCGTTGTGGAACGCATGCCCCAGGGTGGTTAAATGGTGCGCATCCCACCGTAGCTGACGGGATTGTCCGTGTCTCAGTGTGCTTCCACTGGAATTGGCGATGTTGTAGATGGTCTACGACCATCCGCGTGCGCAACTGCGGTGGGTTTTATGTATACGAACTAGGATCACCGCCGTATTGTCATTTGCGTTACTGCGGAGGTAGGAAATTATCAGTTACTGAATACCTAAGTCACTAATTCCTAGTTTTTAATGTTCGTGTTTACATAGCTGGTTAAATTCTGATGTGTTTACGGTAAGGTTTCCAACCATTTTTTTACAACTACTCACCCCAACTAATAACATTTGGTTTTGGAACTTGTGATGACATTATTTTGAGGTGTTAGACCTCGCGAAGGATGATATGAAAATATCTTAATTGTCCCTAATTAAGACAAAATAGAAAATGACTGAGAAACTAGAAAGACAGGAATAAAATAAAATGTATACCAATTCAACATCAAACCAAACTAAGCTGATCACCAAGAAAGAAAATTTAGATATTGCAAGGTGGAGATTCGCTGGTTTCGTATTTTCTGAACGTTTTCAGCAAGTACCGTACAGTCAACTCCAGTGATGCGTAAATCTCTTGGCTTGAACACATCGTCATACGCAAGAGCAAGTAAGTGTCTACATTGTTTAATTAAATGAACTATGAATTCATTACAATGACTGGAACTCAACGCGATCTGTCCCTAATTGAGACAAAATAGAAAATGACTGAGAAACTAGAAAGATAGGAATAAAATATTTTATTAAAAACTAGATCATTGGATAATGCAATTCAAGACTTTTTATTGGCTTAGCCATTATGGTATATCAGCCAATATACCATAATCTACAAATATGGCAAGCGTACGTTTCAGCTTAAGATTAAAAGGGAGCTAAAAATTTAATAAAACTTAATAATTTAATTTAACGTTTTTAATAAAACAATTATTCCACTCGCGCTTGTTGGATATGAGATGATTATAGCCAACTCGGCGCTACGCGCCTCGTTGGCTATCTATCATCTCATATCCAACGCGCGCTCATGGAATAATTGTTAAATGTATACCAATTTAACATCAAACCAAACTAAGCTGACCACCAAGAAAGAACATTTAGATATTGCAGAGATGGCGATTCGCTAGCTTCGTATTTTCTGAACGTTTTTAGCAAGTACCGTGCAGTCAACTCCAGTGATGAGTATTTCTCCTGGCTTGAACACATCGTCATACGCAGGAGCAAGTGAGTGTCTACATTGTTTAATTAAATGAACTATGAATTCATTACAATGATTGGAACTCAACGCGATCTGTTTGCTGACGATTACATCATGGTCGGTGTTTCTTTTTCTTTCCATTTTGTAAAAAAGAAAGCAGCAAACAAAAATAATTAATAGATGAGGAGGAGAACGTAGAAAAGTCCTGATTGATCAGTTTCTATAGACTCAGAAAAATGGAAACACTAAAAGTGATAGAACGACAAACTTACCAGAATCAATAGAAGGGTTTAATTCAATTGTTTTCGATCTTCTTTCTCCGTTCTACTTCACAGACTCATTGTACATAAAATCAACGGTTGCTATGCTAACGTCTGTCGCGTCCAGTACACCATTTGTACTACACCTACCCGCCAATTGCCAGCATGATTGTGTTAACAACTGGGGAAGCTATTACTGTACTTGCCGTCAAGGATACAGGTTGGAGGCGGATGGGAAAACATGTCAGGGTAAGTTTACACATCACCGACGGACTGCTTTCATATCTTGCAATGTCCACCGATAGCATACTGGTCTTAATTATGCCAAATAGAATGAAACGAAACCACAGGTATAAAAATCATCGTCATCACGTGAACAATAGTTGTAACGTACGTAACAGTACACCGAGAGACTTTAATTTCGCATACATTTTATCATAAGGCATCAAAAACGGTGAGGGAAAGTGCGAAGAGTGACATTGTTTTTAGTTCCTTTGATCGCTTATTCGCTTACCTTGATGTCATCGTAACGTCGATTAGGTTGCTTTTATTTGATGAAAGGATACATTTGATTAACCTTACAAAGGAAACAATTTCTGTGTTGCGCCAATACACGAAATACTTTGGCAAACCGCGATTTTTAAGTGGCGCGAAATTTAAACACACTGATAATATCTTGAAGTTAAAATTTTCGTCATAAAAAGTTAAAAATATGACGTTCATAGGATTTTTCGTGCGGAAATGCTCTCCTACGGGAACACGTTTAACTGTAGTCACGTCTAAAAATTAAAAGGGGATTCTTGGGATTTTCCACAATGCACCGTTTTTGATTAACTCCTTTACATTTAGTTCTGTAATTTATAACAACTTTATTTGCATACAGTTGGAAGATCAAAAAAGTATAAATGCAAATAGGGTGCCAGCAGGGAAGAACTTAATCTTCATGTAAAGTTGACCCCCCAATAGAAATAAAAATTCTATATACATACTTAAAATATATACACTATGTTGTCATCGATAAAACTATAGCAATCTAAAATGTATAGATATAACCAAATAATTAATTTAAGCCTGAGTACGAAACAGAATCCTTAATGAGCATGTTATATAGACGTCTCTTAAAGTTGCTAACACTGACTGCTTCAACGATATCTTTCGGCAAAGAGTTCCACTCATCAATGTACCTGTGCCAAAATGAGTACTTAAGAATATATGTTCGTGCATAGGGTTTCCAAATTTTATATCTGTTGGTACATCTTGTGCGGCAAGAAGAAAACTTTAAATAATCATCTAGACGTACAACACAAAAGCCCTTGATATACTTAAAAAGTTGTGTCAGACTTAAAAGACTTCGACGGGTTTTGAGATCCATCCATCTTAGTTTCGACAATCTTTCGTCGTAAGTAATGTCCTTGCTAAGAATCCTCCTAGAGGCACTACGTTGAATCCGCTCTAGTTTATCTGACAATTGTTGTTGATGGGGATTCTAAGCAGGGCACGCATATTCAATTATCGGACGATATATACCCTATTTTTATAGCTTCAGAGCATCTGCCAAAGGTGCGTTTAAGTAAGCTTTTGCAGCAACTGATAGAACATGGGATTTCCATGAAAGATCGCATGAAAGGGTTACACCAAGATGCTTGTGCGAGGAAACTTTCGTCAATGGAACCGAGTTAATGTTATAAGAACAGGTAGTTGCTCCCTCGATCTTGTAATTCTCATGAATTCACATTTGTCAATGTTTAAATTCAGAGACCATGAACTGCACCAGCCATTCATTTGATTTAAGCCTTGTTGAACAGGAGTAGAAACAATTAATGTCAATAGAATCAGAGTTATACAGTAGCGTATCATCAGCCCCAAAATAGAGCCTTGAGGCACACCTGAGATGACATTTCCCCAATCGGAGAATGCATGCACCATCAATGACAACTCTCTACTTTCGATCATAAAGGAAATCACTCAACCAGAGGAGAATATTTTCTTTGATACCAAAAAGTTGTAGCTTTGCCAAAAGAAGTTTGTGGGAAACAGAGTCGGCAAAGGCTTTAGCAAAGTCCAAGAAGACTACATCAATTTCTTTCTTCCAGAGACGTTTATCAGAGTTCAATCAGTTAGTTACCGTGCTTCTTCCAAATCTCACAAACCTTTTATGTCTTTATCAACCGACAGATATCAACGAATGCTTAACCCAAAATGGCGGCTGCACCCATGAGTGTGTGAACATCCCAGGAGGCCACTACTGCAAATGCCCCGAGGGCGTTACAATGGGCTTTGATAACAAGACGTGTCATGGTATGTAAATTTTTGTAAAAGGAAAATTGCGCACAGATTCCTCTCATAGCTATCTATAAGATTCTCTACATTGCTGTACTGCATCTTTATACATTACCATTTGGTACAGAAAAGTTTTCAGACAGAGTTCTATTAACTTTGTTGAAACTAACGGGGAGATAAGTATTTTTGAATAATTAAAACAGTGAAATGGCTTTCTCTGGCAGAAACTTCAATTGTGAATTAATATTTTTCGTTCTTTTCAGAACCTGGTATTACAGTGAAATGCACTGATGAAGCCATGTTTATTTTTCTGGAGAGAAAATCTTTCCAGGGCTTTGATCCAAACAAGCTCACTCTGCTTTACCCGTCATGCCGTGCCTCTTACAACGATTCCCACATATCCTTGCGAACGAGTCTCAACGACTGTGGAACCACACATAACGAAAGTGAGGACGCGATAACTTTCCACAACAAAGTGCAGAGTGTCCAATCCTACTCCGGCAACATCATAACTCGGGAACAAAACGTGTCAATTCCTTTCTACTGCAGTTATGGACGTAAAGCCCAGCTTCGAAATCCAAGTTTCCGAATCTGGAAGAACTATTTCACAGCTTCGGAAGGTAAACTCTTACCAGGAAATGCTCATTTGATTTAATTTGTTTTAGGATAAGACATTGACTCGATTATTAAGAGTTATCGCTCAGTTCAGTAATTTAAGGGAGTAATATTTAAGGAGCGGCATTCATTGAATCAGTCTTTGAAGAAAAACCCTTGGCTCGTCTCTTTGTTAACGAGATGGTACTCCTTTAGCCGTCACCTGACATTGTGGTGGAGTTTGACGACCTTTATTGCTTTCTGGGATCATCGTATAGTGTACTTACGAAGACAAAAAGGAAAAAAGTACTGAATGAGCTTTCCGCTTTTAGTTTTCGCTCAAAATTAATTGGATTTTCTGTCAATCTTTTTATTGTTCCCAACAACCACCAGAGTCTGGTGAGACTTGACATTTACAGATCTCATAGAAAGACCGCAAATTTTAATTTATTTTCATAGGTGGATATGGTAACTTCACATTCACGATGGATCTATTCAAGACGGGCAGATATCTTACAACGTACAGCTATAATGACTATCCAATCACGGTCCATCTTCGGGATCGCTTGTTTCTTCAGTTAGCGGTCCGTTCATACCAGTCTAACTTGGTTCTCTTTGTCGACACCTGCAAGGCGACTCCCTCTCCTGATCCGTACTCAGTTCCTCAGTATATCTTCTTACAAAGAGGGTAAATATGTCGTGTTTTGTGAAACGCTTATCGAACAATGTTTCCTATAAATATTCGCTTTTTATGCAGTTTTCCCTTGAACGAACGAGTTGAACTACATGAGGCTAACTCAGTGTGTAAAGAATTTTTATCAGTACAAAATAGAATCAAATGTTTTTGAAGTCCATTTTCTTTTTGTTTTTAAACGATTTTATTGGGCATATCAGATAAATATTTGAACAAGGCAAAAGTACAATAATACAATAACAAATAGAAAACAGAAGAGAAACTGAGATAAAACTGCACCCAAAAGGAAAGGCGCGAATGGGACGTAAAGTCCCATGCGAGGCGCCGCCCATTATGAATTAAAAAACACTATAAAATAGAAAATCACAATAATACAGAATAAATAAATAAATCATTTCAACTGCCGAACAAAAAGTGCTAATTGGTGGAATGTTCGAATATTCGAGTACATAGTAATCAGCGGGAAATCAAGCCACCGAAAAAATCTGTAAATTAAAATTTTTTGTCCGTGTAAGTTTTTCAAGGTGCAAAACTTTGGTTTCTAGTGGTTTACGTATCATCCCATCTACAAATTCATAATTATAATTCTCTTTGCTTGGCTGCAGATGTAAGCTTGATGCTACCCTCAATTATTCGTACTCCATCAGCTCCAAACAGCGTTTTAGCATTCAAGCGTTTCGTTTTATTGAAGAACATCCAGTGGTACATCTTCACTGTGAAGTTCTGGCTTGCCACCGCAACACTGCCCGCTCCCGCTGCCTCCAGGGATGCTCCCGCTATCGTGGACGGAGAGACGAAGTTCCTGGTTCTGAGAGTACTCAGATGTACAAAATTTCGTCTGGACCAATCAAATTCCAAAAAGGGTCGAGCGGAACGAATAGAGAAAAAAAGAGCGAAGGTGAGCGAGGAAGTGGAGAGTCGTGGGTAACGATTTACTGAATAATTATGTGGAAAGTTTAGATGTCGATAGATACTTCAAACATGTACTTGAATCGCTATCACGATAGTTAGATTGACCATGGAATCAGCTCGAAAGAATTGCCACCCTTTCTCAACTCGATACAGGTTGCCAAACACCACACAAACGTTAATTGACCGTATCAGATCTTTAAATAATTTACTGAAGCAACTGTGAAGTTACTAAACCCGAGTCACTTTTTTTTTTGTCATCCTTTTAGCTGAAACTCAAACCAATATGGGGATCATTACAGTAGCGGCGGCATCCGGCGGAATTCTTCTCCTCCTGGTAATCATTTTGGTAATTGTCATCATTCGAATCAAGAAGCGTCTGAAGGGAGCTTTCGCAGATCGCAACAAAGTCTATGCCATGGAACAGTGTAGCAAATACGTCAAGCAAGAGAACAACAACTTGGGCTTCACTCAGGATGACGAACTGAACGAGATGGGAGACAAGTCGTTTATTATGAAACCGCTTGCTTAGAAACCTCCTCTTCTAACGCCGCTAGAACTTTGCAGAGAGCTTGATGCGAGGTGTTTCCTGAGGATCTTCCTCACCTCGGATACTTGTTGAGGACTGGAATGCTCGTAAGAAAATGTTGATTTCACCGCCAAAACGAGACTTACCTGAATATAGTGCATCAGGCTTTTTTGGCCCTAAAAAAAATGTCCGTTAAAACAACAAAGCAATCTTATAGCAACATTTCCTTATTGATTAAGACTACAAAAATAGCGCGTCAGCGTTGTATAATGCATTCTGTTGAACCCTGGAGCAGATGCATTGACAATTAATTATTTTAGTGTTTCGACTGGAACACCCCAGTAATGCCAAAATCTGCATCTTCTTTTTCACGTAATCACGAGTATTCCTGGTCCTATCATATTAGAGACTCCTGGGAAATACTGATCGCTTGTTTCCCGTTGGTAATTTAAGCTGCACTTGTGGCTGCAAGTGACTTATTTTGTTTTTTTCCCGCTCTTCTAGCTGTATGTCACAATTTAGATGCTTCCCTCAAAGTTACACTTCTGCTTCAGAGTGATAGAATGGTGTGTTGATTACAGCCAGTATTAATTTGTTTTTGGGAATGTTATTCAATAATACAGATGTTTAAACATTGAAAATAGGACGAGCATAAGTGTAAACCATTATTACTTAGGTAGCTTTTTCGTAGAGCTTTACTACATAATCTCCAAAAAAATAGCTTTTATGAGATTTATTGATGTCCTTTTGTGGAGTAGTACTATTAGCTATGGCTGATATTATGCGTCTAAGTGTTCCTCTGTTGTTGTCATCGCTAAGATTATAAACAGGTTTTCTTTTGTCTTTAATATATTGTATCTGCTCATATTACAGGCTGAAATAAAGTGTATGCTTTGAATTATATAAGATTGTGAGTTATCATTCAAATCCCTATTGCATGCCAACAGGAAGGAAGTTTCCAAAAATCTGCCAAAACGCACTCAATGTTCTAAGCGCGTTCCATTTATTCCTTCTCTATCTTTATATTCCGTCTTTGTACGACTTAAATGTTAATGATTCTTAAACTCATCTAAAGAGTTGTCCTGCTGCCTGGTTAGCTCAAGTGGTAGAGTGCCGGACTGTCGTGCGGGAGGTCGATATCTGCAAATGACTTGACATTCTAGTGTTCTCGGAAAACGACGAAAAACCGTAGGCCCAGTCTTCTGCATCTTCTCTGTACTCTTGGGGGCATCTGTTAAAATTTGTCTTCACATCTCTATCTGCTCGGGTTTGCCTTTTGTATTGTGATGTTACCAAGAAAAAATCCTACTAATCAGTGGAAAATAACCGCGAATAACTGTTTAGTCATCGTTAAAATAGATTTAACAATACCATTTTATAACATCACCAATATATTCGATATAATTTCAATAACATGATCATTAACTTAGACTAAAGTGCATTGAAAGCAGGCACGCAAATTTAAGCTGTACAACTTTTTGGAAAAAAAAATTCAGGCTGATTTTCTACCTTAGCCGTATAGTCAAAATAAAAGTTGTGAGCTGAACAATCAAGTGAACCAGTCATCTGTTCTATTTAACAATTATTCGCCGAAGGCGAGGTGAATACTTAGTGAATAAACCCCTTCGGACGGGTGGTATATCGGCTGATAATGGCCGCGGCTGAGAGATTGTCCGGAAAATGAATATTTGGTCGAGAAGCGAAGCTTCGAGGGCAAATTTGAAATTTTGAGGACAGTCTCTCAGTCAAGGAAAATATCAGCCAACATACCAGGAAGCCAAAATGGGGTTTATTTATTTTATGACCCTCCCATTAATTTTCACATCGCAATTAAACTGCGCATAATCACAGTAAAAAAAGCCAGTGGTGATCTGATGGCGAATGCGCGTGATTGACGGAAGCAAGCAAAAAAAAAAAAAAACCAGTTTGTTTTCCTTCCATGTAATTAGGAGAACGGAAAAGTTGAAACTTCTGTCTTGACTATATTTCTTTTTTACGGAAAAAATCGGAGGACAAATATCGACGCGGACAGGGTTATTGCGTAATAACTGTCCTGTGATTTTGCACCACGTGACGTAAAGTAACCAATAAAATCGCGCCAAAATTAATGTGTGGGTTATAATCGACAATATTCACCGAACCTGAGGCGAATAATTGTTTTAGTATAATTTCAGAGCTGAACAACAGAGAAATTTCTAAAATCATAACATTTCATATAAACCGCGTGGAGCAGTTTATATAGCGTCATATAAGGAACCGCTCGACCAATCTGATTGCTGGAAACTCTTTCCTCAGCTCTAAAATTATACTAATTGATCATATAATTGGTCAATTCAGTTTCCATGCGGATGTTTTATCAGGTTGTAGAGCGCTGAAAAATGCGTTCTATTGCTTTATTAAGTCGTTCCTTTGCCATCATTTACAGATAGAATGAGTTCATAACAAGCATTGTTAACGAATTTTAAACATAATAATTCTCATTATCAATTACTAAGATTCTTTTAGTTATAAATCTTTTCCGCCTATTTCATCCCCAATATTGTTCTAGTTTTGACAGTTTTCCTTAGCCCTTAAAGTCAGTCACTTTAAACGAATTAGCAAGAAATTACTGAACGAGCCAGAGTAATAGGCCTCAGAAAATTCTGTTCCTACTAAACTGTGTAATAAGCGATTAAGAACCACTGACCATAAACATCGAGAAACCGCCGAAAGTTGCAAAATTTGGTTACTAATTTTACTTTTCTCAAAGGACCCTTTTGATGAACTTTTTCAAAACTTATATATAAAAAAGTTAATTTTCGGTGGATTCTCGATATTCATGGTCAGTGGCTCTTAATATTGGTTTGTACCAAACAATCGATATATAACGTTTTGCCACAATCTGATATATTAGCTTTGGGGTTGAAACAAACAATAGCTTGAACTTAGATCTCTATAAATGCTTGATATAGGCCAATTATCAGGGGATTATAAGATTAAAGAGTTCATTTTAAGAAATATTTTACAATTACTTGCCGAAGGCGAAGTGAATATTGTTGAAAAGTCCCCGAGACACACAGCATAGCAACACAAATGCAGAGCCTGCAGCATCGATACTTATACAATAATCTAATTTAAAAATAATGTTTAGAAAATACAGCGATCCTTCTCAGCAAACCGGCGAATGTTACACGTAGATCCTTACACTTAAGCTGATTGAAAGATAAATAAAATACAGAGTGCGAATGCAAAGATTTTAATAAAACTAACGTCATCGGTGTGTGGTTTTAAACTCTTAGCCCCGATATTTGTTGGCAATCTATTTTTGTTAATTCATTTTTAATCGAAAGGGCAACGGAAACTTCAGAACAGTGCGGAATTCTCGTCAAACTGTCGGCAATTTGAACAGAGGTGCCATCGCCTGACGTTACTGAAACTGGATGTTTTTTATGCACACCGATTCTTAAACCTGAAGGGGAACTAAAACATCAACTCAGGAATTTCTTTCTCCCGAAAAGTGAAGGTTTGTTGACAGTTTTACGATATAATCTTCAGATAATCTTTAACAGTCTGATAATCTTATACAAACTTATACTGGTCGGGTAGAAGCACAAAAATCGGAGAATGTAGCAGGTACATAGTTCCTTCTCGGGTTACTGAATTATCTTGAATAATTTATTTCATCCCGACATCATGTTTTCAAATTTGTCCATTGCAAGCCGTGTCGATTTTCTTCATCGATCGTTGATAAAACTTGATCCTTTTTACCCATTGTCAAACTAATAATTGGCGGTTTCCCGAATATTGAAGGCTGAACAATAGATTTTTTCCGTGGCATAGAACCTTAAAAGTCTAAAAAATGGATTGTTCTTTGCAATGAAACAACCAAGCGCAATTTGAAACTTGACCTGATCTTTGTAGCTGGTGTGGGTCTTTCAGGCCATGGTCCCCTTATTTTCTTGGGCCTTGATACCTCTAACACTTACGACCTATTCATTCATAACAAAACATGTTCCCGTTAAATAGATATTCACAAGCAAAAGTCCAAACGCCTGTAATATACGATTCAGAAAAATTCCTTCATTCACGGTCTGATCCCAAGAACTTGAGGAAGTTTTTTAAAACACAATTTATCAAGTGTCTAAAAAATTTGCCGAAATCATAGTTCGCGGGTTTGTGGTTCATTTTTTGTGAATGACTTCATTCACAATGACCATGATTAAGAAAGTCACTCAAGATGGTGGAATCAATATCAAAGGAACTCGCTCATGCTACTGATATCCTCTCAAAGATGGACATTCCCGTATGTCTTCCGTTATTACAAAGAATTCCGCACACGGTATCACATCAACATACACCTTCTATCAAATCCTTCAAACTTACGTATGTCCATGATTGCATGAGTTCACGCTTGAATTGAACCTTTTTCGGACCAGAGATCTCAGCAGAATGTTGTTTTACGATTCTTTGAGTTTCTTGAGAAGAAACTCTCATCGTGGCTAATATTATTTTATCGAGGTTTGCTAATTCTATCTCGTGTAATATTGAGTAACTTGAGCAAACCACAGTATGCAAGATTTAATGCGCTGAGCCTAAGAGAGGGGGGCAGGGGGATAGGGGGCGGTGGAGGATTTTGAGGATCACAAAGTTTTTTGTGGGAACGCGGGGAAATTAGTCGTCGCTAACAGAGTATAAAGGAGGGATTATTAACCGCCGATGAGGGGGGAGTCATTAGTATACTGCAGAGCCTTTGGGGTCTATCAGGTAACTTTTAAATTTTATTCTGACATCACAAAATTCCCCCCCCCCCCTCCCCTGAAAGATGATCGATTGAAGGCAGAAGAAATTTCTGGCTCTTCAACGTTATTACTCAGTCTTTTTTCTGCAAAGGATATCTAGAGCCCAGCCCCCAAACTGAGGTTAATCTAATCTCCTGTTCACGAGCACTCCAGTGAACGAGACAAAACAGTGTCATCGGACTCTCAAAATCTCAGACACGTAACCTATTGCGCCATCTCTAAAATATACACAACCTTTGTAAAGAAAGATTTAAATAAATGAAAAAAACTTTATCGCTGGATGGAGCGAAAACCGAAAATCAAGAGAATTTTGCTTCACTCAGTGCACATCTCTAAGTAATAAAGTGATATTTAAGTTAGTGCAGCAGCTTCTGAAAAACGTTACGTAACAAACCTTTCACAATGTGTTGACAATCATGAGGGATTCCCGTGAAGTGATCTTGAGGCGCATCTGTCATTAATGAAATCATATTTCTGAATGAAGCAGACAATGCGATAAGGTCAGTTTCGTATTTTCGTGTGACCAGAAATGATATTGCATCGTTCAAAAATTGCGCAGAAGGGGAGAGTCTAAAAGCGGAGAGTGCACGAGTTCTGCTTAACCGATAGATGTTTTTTTTTTCTGATCTTGTAGCACGAACATTTCCTCCACATCCTAATTGAATAAGATACAGATGCATTTCTCTGAAGGCTTTCAGACGTTCGTGATAGTTCGAGAATGGAAGATAACCTCGTCTGGTGGTAAGCTTTAAATAATCAAATCATTACTGAATGACTTTTACCATTATGCTTTTGCTTGGTGTGCTCGGGGCAGTCTTGTGTACTTTCTTTCTCGTTATTTGTACGCTCAACTCGATCGCTAACATTGGAAAGTATTAATGGTGTACAACATCAAAGATAGTCTAACATACATAATCCCCAGATACAATCGGCTATAAAATGAAAAGAACCACAGTAGATCGCTAATTGACAGCTGTTGCTGCCGTTTATTCATCGTCACTTGTCTTAAAAATATCTTCCCTACATGTGCCAAATTCTAAGGAGAACAGAACCTTATTTCAATTTTAAACCCGTTGCTCTCAATATTTATAGCTATCGTCGAATACTACATATTTTCCAGGGCAAGCCTTTTCCCAGCTTAGTCCTTCGCGTGGATCAATCAATATTGACGAATTTTTCGGCGGCAAGGAGAACTCTTTCCACAGTCACATCAATGTAAAATTTGTTTCATTCTTTTGACCTCCGCGACTGTATAGCAGGGAAAGTAGAACTGTTAGTGGAAACTGAACACCTTCTTGATCTGTACGTCTATTTATTCCAGACGTTGGGGGATCGTTCCTGGCGGTGTTTGCCCTAGCAGTCCTGTATGAGTGCTTCAAGGGACTTCACTGTACACTACAACAACGCTTACGGAATAGGAGTTACCGGTCGACAACCAGTGTTCTTAAGACGAGACTACATACTTTTATTAAATGGTAGGTTTCAAGATCTCTACTGAGGAGGGTGAGCTCGCGGTATTGGAGTAAAAGTTTTGGTACTACAAATAACTGGGTACAAGTTTTCCAATCGAATTCTGTGCGGCGCGTTCAGTTCCAAAGTCTTTTCTTCCCATCTTTCGCCAGTTGCAGATTGAAAAGGTGAACGTTTTTCTAAAGAGTCTGTTCTCACTTCTGCAAACCCCAAAAGGACACTATCTGCTCAAGAAACCAAACAACGAAAAGCATTCTCGTTCGTGATATCATCTTTAATTAATTCTATGGAGGCCTGGCAAAGTTTCAAGTTATCAATAATAAACTCATTCACATAACTTCTTTTTCTTTATCTTTTGTTTCCAAAACAGTCGTGACCTTGTGACGCAGTTTTCCAAAACGTGTCTCTTCGTAACCGAACTGGCTTTTGCTTACTTCTTGATGTTGGTCGCTATGACATACAACACGTCTTTATTTGCGGCTGTTGTTACCGGTCGAGGAGTGGGTTATTTCTTGGCGACACCACTCGTTAATACCTACATCATTAGTGACAAGGAGGGCAGCGATTACAGGAAGTATCGACGAGATTCACAGTCAACAATAAGAAAACGGGAGCCATTGTTGAAAGGAACAGATATATAACAGCAAAATAACTCAGCAAACTGGACAGAAGGACCACTGAATAACAATAGTTTCAAGTCTATTATTCTATCTATTATATTTCCATTTTTTTGAAGGTTGCAACGTTATAGCGGGTGAGAGAACATGCTAAAGTTTTTCTTGTTCCCTCATGCCAGTATATTGTGCGAGCCAGGCTCTCGGTCTTTCTCAGGTTCCACGCTCTGTCACTGCAACCCAGCACGTCTTTTTTGCTTGTCTTCACTAACTGTGAGCCTGGTACAGGCTAATGAATATCACTAGAGACTCCGAGTAATCGCTTAAACAAGTATGAAATAAAACCAAACATTATGGTCTGTACCGCACGTCTCACTATTGCAACACAAACAAATCACGCCAACAACACACTGAATTTTCCTTGCTGTTTAACAAGAAGTTCATCGGGAATGCTACCTACTAATCTAAACTGAGCGACGCACGTCATGTTTTTAAGTCTATGGAATAACAAAACAAAACGTAATAAGTCGTTTTCAAATTATTTTTGGATTCTTTTTCAAATCGAGGCATGCATGGTGCTCAATCACTCGTATGGAAATAAGTTTAATTTGCATGTGAATGAAAATGTATAATCATGTGAAAGGATGAGCACCAGGACTCGCTTTGGAAAAGAAGCCAAAGGTGATTCAGAAATTGGCTATTTTTGAAAAGAACTTCTTTTACGTGTGATTGAAAAGTGTAATGTCGACAGTATAGTTTAAAACATTTTTTACCGTGGATTTTGGAATTGCAAATTTCTTAGTGAATGTATAGCATACATAAACGACTTAAGGTTACTTTGAAGCTGTATTGAGACTGAATTTTCTCTCAGAGTGAGCATTTCTTTCATTCTATTTTCACTTTTTTCATTAATTTATCATATCCCGAACTACCGTAGCTAGTTGCCTGCAGGGACATGGTCAAGCACATGGTGAGCCAGGTCAGACGATGTATGCTCCAGAGAAAAAATGCAGCACGTGCAACATCTATAAGGTCCTCCTGGGTAACGGGCGTCGGCTTTTGCGACTGAATGCGTCGGCATTCATTTATTCTTTCATTAATCTTATTTTTCCACATACCCGGCCTAGGCAGCCATTTACTACTTTCGTTGAGTAACAATGCACCATTGTCACTTTCGAGAAAAGGCAGAGCTTATCAGGAGGCGTAAGGGGATTACATTGGTTTCTTAAAATGCAAAGGACTAGACACCTCTTTTTCCTCCGTCTCTTTCACGCGATTTGGTTCAGCATCAAATAATGGATACTTCACAACAACTCCAGGATATTTGCTTCCTAACATTTCCACTTCTACTCGAGAGCCCAGAACAGCTAGAGATGGAGGTAGATATGCGAAACATATACTCTTGTTGAGCTGATAACTGAACGAACCACTTGAGGTAAATCCTACAACCTGATGGAATTCATAACTGAAAAAGTAAGTGATCATCATGTCCACCATGGCCACTGAGAGAAGTAAAAGAAAACGACGATTCAACGGTCATCATACTCACCTTGTTGCCGTACCAAACGGTTTCGTTCCCTTCAGAGTCCACATCTGTTGTATCCACCGTCATGAAACATAAGATACGCTCACAGTCATCTCTTTTCAATTCAAGGAGGGCTTCTCGTCCAATAAATTCAACACCCTATTCAAATGCAGGAATAAGTCAAGAGTCCTATGGACTGCTTTTGGATGTGATCAGCCTTACTTATAGTAGTGTTCTGAGAAACACCTTACCTTATCTAATTTCACAAACGACATTAAATCTGCTTCAACGGCGGTAGTTGACGTATTCATCTGCGAAGAAAAGTCCAACTGCTTTTTAAAACATGCCTTTAATAATGAAAAGACTAGCAAAAACTAACGATAAAAACCGACGTTTCGGTGTCATCATGACGCCATTGTCAAGGAGAAATAAAAAATGAAGTTTGTGGTAAGGTGTAACACTAAATTAGCATAAATATGTTACGAGCTAATTAAACAAATACTTTTGCGCGAATTGAACCGCTTTGCACGTTCAGAGTGGGTTTTAAAATCCACTCAGGTTGTAAAACGAGCAGTCAATCCATAATTAATAAACCTCGTTATTAAACATTCTCAAAAATGTAACTATACTAAATCGTCAAACGTGTATTCCACCAATGGCAACGTGAATATCACGTTCCTTAGCACACTCGAACGTCATTCGAGCTGTAAAACTTCAATCTCTCATGCACGGTTCTTTTAAAAAACCGAAAACATAAAATCGAAGCATTGTTTCTTTATCTTACTGATTACTTAACGTATCTACATTGCTCTTGTCCTTATATGTGAAACCAACAAACACGGGCCTACTATTACACTACCAAAGCCATGTAGACAATCGCTACAAACGGAGCTTGCTGAAAACTATGCTGGATCGCGCACACCGATTATCTTCCTCCTGGGCCCATTTCTCTGATGAGTGTGATCGCCTAAAGAAAGTTTTCGCACGGCTTAAATACCCGGAACGCCTGGTAAATTCTACCATTAACACCTTCTTACAATCAAGAATTGTTGGTACGCAGCCCACACAGACGCCCAAAGAACCAATATCCATTGTTCGTGTGGTCATACCTTTCAAAGATCAGGAATCAGCAAATTATGTTAAGAAAGAGCTCAAGAATCTTAGCATGAAGGTGCAGACAACTGTCCAGCCAGTATTTGTTAGCCGCAAAGTTGGCCAAGATCTTAAAGTACGAGAAATCAAGCCACAGATTGTCAACCAACAACGCGTCGTTTATCAATTTCAATGTGACCTGTGTGATGCGGGTTATGTGGGCTATACACGCGGACACTTACACACACGCGTGGATGGACATAAACGAAAGGCATCTTCAATATATAAACACTACCACGAACGGCACAGCGAAGTCCCGAAAGACCTACTGAAACGTTTTAGCATTCTGAAAAAGTGTAGTAACAAGTTCGATTGTTTGGTGAACGAAATGCTTTTCATCAGAGACTTAAAACCCACTCTGAACGTGCAAAGCGATTCAATTCGCGCAAAAGTATTTGTTTAATTAGCTCGTAACATATTTATGCTAATTTAGTGTTACACCTTGCCACAAACTTCATTTTTTATTTCTCCTTGACAATGGCGTCATGATGACACCGAAACGTCGGTTTTTATCGTTAGTTTTTGCTAGTCTTTGCATTTCTTAATCTTTATTGGTTTAATAATGAAAGCATGCAAATATTACCTGAAAGTTCTTCAATAAAGAACAAAGGCAGAGAATGTCTCTAAAATCTTAGGAGGTGACGAAACAAGGCGAGGAAACCGAACAGAACCAATTCTCGTAATACTCACTCTCTGCTCCTCAACCGTGGCATGTTTGGCGCATAAAAGGGTAAAATAGTAAATGGTGTCAGTGCATTGGCACATGAGCAAGGCTACGTTAAGCCGTGTTTCACGATACCTCAAAGCCCCACATACGGATTCCTTTCTCTAGTCTAAGGGAATTAAGGGCGTAGGTGCCAAAGTCTCCGATGCCATGTTCCTCTCCAGCAGAGAGCAGAGCTTCATATAAATCTGCCGTGTGTTCCTTCTTGTGAAACAACTCCCATCCTAGCTCCCCTATTGTGAAATGCAAACGGCAATTTAAAGAACGCCTTAAGAAGATTGAAGGGATGGATATGTAGGTCTATTGTTGTGGTAAAACTCTCGTTTCTACGCTCTAAAAATATAATTATAACCCCTTTGCATTCAAAACAAAAAGCCGTACATAACAGTGACTAAATCATGTGACTAAATACCTCATATGGTATATAACAATTAAGAAAGTCACAGAAAGTATCAACTTAAACCTAATTAAAGCTATCACCAAAAACCTGAGTAGAGTACAACAGTCCCTGCTTCTCAGCGAGGTCCGAAAGTCAGTGAGTACATCTCACTCCCAAAGTTCCGCGCGACGCGCTGACATCAGTTTTATTTTTCACAGATTTTCTTTTAGACTCGCATGACAGACTTCGCCGAAAATAACTTGAGACCGCACCTAGTCTAAATCACGACTAAACTATGGGCTTAGCATTACTAAAGTAGCATTTTGCCCTCAAACTTGACTACATCATACTTCAAAACTCGTGGTAAAACCTTTTCTTGAGGGGGCTGTCAGAAATCGAAACAATTCTAACGATAAGTGTACCTGTCAAAGAGAACCGAATGGCCCGCACAGGGATTCCTGTAAGCTCTACGTCACGATATACCAAATATGGAAAACTTTCATTGCTCAGGTCCGTTGTTGTCATCTTTGACAGAACGTCACGTGAACGATGCCCAGCAATGCCCAGGCAAGCCAGTTCATCAGTGATATTCGTGATGATGATATCATAATTACTCTTGCGTTGGTTTTCCAACAACCATCTGTGTACGAACAGCTAAGCATTAGCAAAGCTACCAAGGTGTTTCTTATTGCGTGGAATGATGATCAAAGAAAGCATAGTGATAAATGTAATACTAAAGGAGGAACATAGTTATATGTAGGCCAACGGCACTGTAAGGCAACTCTTAGCCCTCCATATTTCCTCCACCTCCTTTAAGCACATTTTAACTCATTTCTTGATTAGTAAAAAGAGGGTTAACAACCAGGGTCCAGTTGTTCGAAGGACGATTAGCACTAAACCAGGGTTAAATTTTGACTCAGGTTTCCTTATTTCTCTATTCAAGAACCTTTCTGAGATAATTTTCCCAGTTCTTTTTAGAGCATCCAATCATCAAATTGTAGACACAAAATAATTAAACTGAACTTTCTCTTAAAGCTTTCAGATCTGAAATCAAATTTCACGCTAATCCTGGGTTATCTTAACCCAGCTTTGAACAACCGGGCCCAGGAATTCAAATTACAAATTATTCCAGAAGATCACCAATCTTGCATACNCCCCCGGTTAGCTCAATTGGTTAGAGCGCCGAATTGTGTTGTGCGGGAGGTCGAGGGTTCGCTCCCCGGCTGGACCAATACTCATGGTCTTAAAATAACTGAGGAGAATTTGCTGGATTTCTATAATATCAAGAAATGGATAGGTATTCTAGTCTTCTCGGATAAGGACGAATAAACCGTAGGCCCCGTCTCCTGCAGGGTTAGGGGTAGGAGACGTTAATTTCCCACGCACGAGATTTCTGTGTGGTGGATGTCCTCCCCTGGGGTGGGATGGGCGGGTGTTGTTGCAAGAATGGCCCTGAAAAGCCCTATGAGGGAGTGGTCAATTAACGTATGTATGTATACCTGAGATCATGAAATTCCGTGTTACTTCTTGTGACCAAAAAGTAACGAGCCGCTTCCAGGCAGGTGACAGTCATTTCCGCATACACTTTCCCTTTTGGGGTCAGCATGTGGCTTATGTTTGAGTGCCCCACCTTAAAATACAGAACTTATGGTTATAAACGCGATTACCTTGGTTTAGAAGGTAAACTATGGCCTGAGACTATTGATTTGTCATCGAGATATTTCCAAAACGGGACATGAATCGAAAGCTAGGAAAGTTATACATAATGAAAGCTGAATAGAAAAAATCTGGGTGGATCGTGGGATATGATCGTCTAGGAAAGGGTAGTTCTGAAAGGACTTTCCACGGTAACAGCGACTAACTTTCCGACAACATGAGTGAAAATCATTGATTGGTCAGTCCTGTCGTGGTGGTGAGGACTTGAAAGCTCAAGTAGCGTTTGTTATTTTTGATTTGTCGGTCTAATCCCTTAAAAAGTGAGGTAGAGCGAGTAAAATGAGGACGCCCTGTTTGATATTTGGATAGGTTTACGTTCACTCCAAGAAAAAAAGGTGATCTCTTATCAAGAAAGAATTAAATTGCCCTTATATTTCATAATCTGACGATACTCACTTCAGGCAATTCATTAGCAAAGACCCTATCCAAAAAGTCAGCTGCATCTTTTCCTTTGACCTCAAATTTCCCATAAGGAGTCAGGTCTATGATACCGACTTTACTCAGCACCAAGTCACATTCCCGTCCAACCGGCTCAAACCAGTTTGTTCGTCGAAAACTGGGTTTGAATCCAGGCTCATCCCCAGGGCGCGCCAACCAGTTCGGTTGCTCCCAGCCAGCGCGTTGCCCCATTTGCGCACCTCGCTGGCAAAGTCTCTGTGAAGAGGAACCAACAGACTGTACAGGACTTATAACTTTTTACGTTGCTCTTGCAAGTAATCTTACGCTTCAGTACATTTATACTTTCAGTTTTGTCAGTATACGCTTTGTTACATGACTAAAAAGGTGAAAATGTGCCAATATTGTTTTCAGAAAAGGCGCCATTTGTATACCAACGAATACCACCGGCGTAAAACAACAAAACCTTAAGTGTATGCGATGTAGCAAAATAAACTTTTAACGATGAAATCAAAATTGTTTAAGGAAACTCAATCGTCGACAAATCGAGCTGACTTAAACGCAAGCTTCTAACAATTTGACTCTAGGTTTGCTTAAAGACGACTCTAAGTGAGCAATATTTTTAAATGTCTGAAAAATGTCTTTAAAATGTCTTCAAAAATGGTGTTAGCAGGAGCCCATTACCCGGAGCTTCCATCTTCCATACTGACCCTCTGAGCCAACCCTGTCCCGTATCTTTCTATTTTAAAAAGCACCTCCAATGGCGGTTTTCGCGGGTGTTTTTATAATAACCAATCATAAGAGAGCTGTCGTCTCTATTGTGTTACTTCTATATTGCGTCACATGCAGGCTGCACGAAATTATTTCAATAATGGAGGAAAGCGCGGAAAGATTAAAGAACCCCCTCAGATATCTCAGTTCTAAAAATAAAAAGATACGGGACAGGGTTGACTCAAGGGTGCAACTCAGATGGAAGCTCCGGGTAATGGGCTCCTGGTGTTTGATAACTTTAGCTTTGAGTTTTCCCCTTTTTTCACCCTCTAGTTTCTAATAAACACTTCTTCTCTCTCGCAAGATGAAACGTTTGAAGGCTAAACATCGTCATCCTCACAGGCTGGCTAATTTCTGGTCAAAGTACAGTTACCTTGTATATCCCACTAATCTTCACGGGGCGCCCAGCCCACCTCTCTAACTTAGGATGCATCATCTGATTATTAAAACCGTACGTCTCTCGACACTTTGCCAAAACGTATTCCCTAGTAGCCCAGTTACCATAGCGACCGGGCTCACATTCAATGAGGTCGAACGGCGGTTCTCCATCGACCATCCAATCAGAGAGGTACTTACCGATGCCACCTGAGGAAAGAATAAAAAATAAAAGCAAAGAAACGGGAAGTGAAAAATGAAAACACAAGGTTTAATGGATTGGGTCACGCATGCATAGGTTACAAAATTTAACGCAAAAACCAACAGTTTATACTATACTATTTATACAGTAATAAACCCCAACAATGGCTGAAGATAGTTGAAAGTATCAATGCAAGTGCACTTTAGTTTGCTTTACGCCGGCAAACACGTCATTTCTCTGAGTTTGAACCATATGGTTTGCTTCTGCTGTCAATTCTGGCTGTCAATTAAGGCAACAAATAACGAAATGGAGTGTTTTCTTTAAAACTTGGAGCTATCATAGAGTTCAATTTTAATGCGCATAGAGTTCAATTTTAATGCGCTATATAAGAACTTATTATTAAATCATGATTTTGAACGGTGCAATTATGTTTCACACGGTGATGTTATTTTATCTTTTTAATCTCCTTTGCCGATTGTCATTTACCTGCGAGACCGATCCCGTAACCCGTCCCGAGAGCTAGCCACATATTAGGTACCTCTGGATCGGGACCAAGCAAGGGAATGGCGTCGGGCGCGTAAGTTATAGGCCCTGAAACGCTACTTATTATTTCGGCATTGGCGAGCACTGGTGTTCTCTTCATTGAGTTGGTTATGTAATCACTGATGCGGTCTATATCACTTTCAAATAACTCCTTTCCAAATCCCTCAGGGACAGAGTCCCACCTTTGAGAAACAGACAAAATAAATGAATAAGGTTTTTTGCCATAGTTTTGCCCGAGAATTTTAGATAATTGTCAGATTAAACACGAGCTAGCTTGTTTGGTTCTCACCACCCTTCCTCCATTTTCATTTCGTCTGCGCTTTCATAGGGACCAAACAGAATGCCTTGCTTTTCCTGACGAGAGTAAACTGAACCTTCTAGGTCCCTCATGAAAGGAAGCTCCTTCTTCAAACTTGCCACTTCAGGGATCGACCCCGTCACGAGAAACTGGTGATGAACCACACCTAAAGAAAGTTCGGCTCCTACCATGCAACCAATCTCTCTGCCCCAAAAACCTGGAAACAAAAGGACGATGTTGCTTAACAGCGTGACTATAAATGTCAAAGAAAACAGATTAACCTAAAATTTTCAGTGACGCAGATAATTACCTGCTGCATTAACAACATGTTTAGCTCTTATTGTGCCGTGCGGTGTTGTCACGTCCCATTTACCATCAGATCTGAAGTTCAATCCTGTGACTGGGGCTGGCATGTATATTTCGGCCCCGTACATCCGCGCCCCTTTCGCGAGGGCCTGTGTCAAGGAATACGGATCAATGTAGCCATCCTCTGAAAAGTAAATTTTCAAACTTTCTGTCGTGTATTAAATTTATATGCAAGGAATTGAAAATATTGATTGGTTCCTGAATAGTCTTCCGGGAAATATCCGACTGTATTTCCTTTATTTCCGTTTTCTTGCGTACCTTTAAATGACCAGATGCAAGAAACAATGTTCATCCTCTCCTACCCTTTGTTACATTTTCGCGACTTTAATACCCACCGGGGAAGTACAAAGCTCCTAAGACATCGTCGACATTCAGAAGAGGATGCAATTGAGCTACTTCCTCTGTCGTGATTAATCTTTGTGGTGCCTTCATCCAACCGTGCCTTTGCATCTGATACTTTGCCTCTTCCAGTCTCTCCGGCGTTGTACAAATCCTAATGCTGCCACACATGTGAAACCCGACGTCCTGTATAAAAATGCGTTTAATTGAGAACTAAGTTCAATAGTCAGAGAAGTGGAGTCTGCACGTCGACCCAATCATATGCGTTTGTCTTAGCTAAGACAGTTCACTCTCACTGTATCTTTACCCAATAAAATGAATACCGGTGGAATATTAGGTAGGCCCGATAAAATATTGGGAATTGCAGATCTGCGAAGCACTAATATCAGAATCCCGCTAAGAAGTGATCTTCACAAATATCATTCTGTTATATTTTGTGAAACCTATGCCCCTTTACCACTTTTATTCAGCATTGCCTACATGAGAGGGTGTTGCTTTGCACTTCAGCCGTGGCATATTGTAATGGAATGAAACAGGCGTTACGAAAGGGATAACACAGTGAATCATCTGCTGCAAGAAAGACAAAGAGAAGATCGTACCTACGAACCTGCGTTCCCCGTAAGACCTTCTCCCTAGGTTGACAAAACCTTAACGCAACACACGAGGTACACATAGCGCTATTGTTACGAGACTATATCTGATAAGTCAAAGTTAACCCAAGACAGATTATCATCGGGATAAGGCCTCTGTGGAGAATTCAGTCTTTCTGCTGAGTCTTCTCTCGATGTGACATTTGAAAATAAAGGAATTCTAAGTGTTCCCATGATCAGTCTAACCTGTCCAGTTTCCTGTCCTAGCTGTTTGTACAAGGACATGCTATGATGAGTTAGAGGCTTCATGTTTACCACCGGATTATAGTGAGACGTAACACCAGCCTGGAAATAAAAAAAAAAGAAAACTTAGGCTACAAACAAACCTCTCACTTTGTTGCTTTTATTTAAAGCACCGTCGACGGGGCGTTTAATTACGGTCGCTTGAAATGAGTGTCGCTTCTAGCTGAGGAATATGGAAGACAAAGCCTTTCCTATTTGCAAACAAATTTTTAATTCAACCGCGATTAATAACTCGTGTCAACGTCTCTTTTTTTAGCGAACCAGTACTTCAAGATTAGTTAGCCTCATTTTGACATATTGTTTCGTGGATTTCCTTTTCTACTCCAATAAATTCTGTCCTTACGCAACCATCTTGAGAACTTAATGCTTACAAATGGCATTTTCTTTCTCTCTTAGACATTACCGAGTGCCAAGTTGAGCCAGCTGTGAGTTCTGACTTCTCCAGTAAGATCACGTCTTTCATTCCAGCTTTGGCCAAGTGATAAGCAATACTAGTGCCTAGGACTCCCCCGCCGATAATAACAGCCTCACCATCCTCTTTCAGTTGTTTACTCAGCTTTTGTTCACTACAATGCAAGAATAAGGTAAAGTCCAATACATAAGCATCCGGTATATCTCATAATTCAGGCGTATTCCAAAATTAATTAAGTCTGTATGATGACATAAATCATTGACGAAGTGAAGAATATTCCC